TTTTTTCCCCTGCTTACCACCACTGTAACATGCTCACTAAGTTTTATTATTAAGTGGTTGTATTTACAAAGAGACATAATCAACAAATAGAATCAGCAATGTAAAATTTATTCTGTAGGTTGTGTGCTGTCCTATCCAATCTATTAATTATGTATTCAATGTGTCGAAGTTTATTGAGTAATTTTTTAGATTGGTGATTGCACCAAAAATGAAATAGAAGATATGCATGGTGATAAAACTCAGATAATAAATTTATTATCAAGTAGTTGTATATACAAAGAGACATATTATAAAATATAATCAGCAAAGAAAAAATTGTTCTGTAGTTTTGTATGCTGTCCTATCCAATGTACTAATTAGGTATTCAATTTGTCAAAGTTTATCGAGTAACTTATTAGACTGGTGAGTGCAGCAAGAAAGAAATTGAAGATATGCATGGTGATTGATGTATTGAGAATAAGCTCTGAAGATATATCTTGCCTGTAAACAGAAAAAGCCGTTGCATTGTTCACTAGAAAACAGAAAAGTTAGTCTTACCCACTGTCCTTATGGATTCTGTTGGATTTTGTGAAAATTTAATAAATACATTTTTTATGCTCAATATAATATTTTATTTATGCAGTATCAAAGTATCACATTAAGCTACCTGCTGTGAGTGAAAACAGAACAAAAATAACTGATTTGAATTATTAATTCATATTCAAATCGGTTTACTGGTGTTGCGACATATTCAATATTGTTTATGGTCATATAAAAGCACACTGTGAGCAGTTCTTCACAAGTGAACACTAAAAGTTCCTGAGTTTGTTCCACAGCTGACAAGTAAGCTATTCTTGAGTTTGGGACATTATGTGCAAACCATGGAACTCTATCATACTTTTGAACAATGCAGAAGAACCTAGCTGGCAAACAGTTACATATCTTGTTGCACCTGCAATTGGAATATCTTACAAATTCTTTAATTTTCCCTAGGGTTCTTACATTGTTTTTTTTAAAACAAGCAAACATAGAACACCGTTTAGTGCTGCCTTGTCTTCTCTCAGAAGTTAAGACAACTCCACTTTTCCTTAATTTAAAAAAGAGCTGAAAGTGGCCGTTTTCAATGTTTAAATAAATTCCTCAACAATTGCTTTGTTGCCTCTGTAACATTAAATTCAAAAGCACGCCTCCCAATTATTTTTATCTTTTCAGAAATGTCTTCCACTACTTTGTACAGTATTCCTCTGCTGCTTATTGTCTCACATAATCTTTTACCAACAGATTGAGGGGGCAGCTTATTTAGTTGTGTCTTTAGGCTTAGAAAGAGAGAAGCACTAGAACAGATCTGTAACCCTGGTTGATAAGGACCATGAATTAACTTGACAATTTGTCCATTGAGGTCTTCAAAGACAAAACAAGAGTAAACCCACAATGGCCCAAGATCCCTTACCATCTCAGCTAAATGAAGCAACATGTGAACATTCATTCCCATAAATCTGGGAGAATACAATGCTTGAAAATCACGGACATACTCATAGAGAAGTTTCTCAGCTGCATCTATCTGAGCAGGAGAAATGCTCTCTGTTGAAAGGAGGGCTATTGCAGAAACCAATTTTAAATGATGTTCAAGATAAACATTTTCCTACCTTCCAGCACAATCAAAGAGTAATAGAAAAACCAAAGCTTGTACTCAAGTGCTTTCCACAATTTAAGGTCAGAAAGTGTCCGAGTAAAACGTTGTACATAACTTGGGGGCTTAATGCTACGAAGTCTATTGTTAACAACATCAATCATTTGAACACAAGAATATGGTTCACCTGAAAAGTGGGGATCAAAGAACAATTTGGTCTGTAGTTTGCTAAGACCCAAAAAAACCATGTGCATTACATCAATTGCCACACCTCTTATCATTGAGGGCATCAGAAGGAACAATACAGACAGCCCTTTGTAACCCATTTCCTTTTGTTCAGCAAGTGCAGGTACATCATTGTTGTTTCGAAGCTGCATATTTTCTTTTCTAATGTATCTGTGAACATGAACAGTAGTCTTTCCTGCCCTGGCCCTTTCTCCACAAGAATAACACTTTGAGCAGCCGTAATACCCGTTTGCTAACTTCATACGTAAGCACAGACCCTTTGCTTGAAGGTCACATGTACCACACAGCAACAGACCTTTCACATTGATAGCTGGACCCTGTGCAATTTGAAATTGATATCCTACTGTACGAAAAGTTTGAAAAATATGTTGAAATGGTTGTAGAAATAAATTAGGTTTTGGTTTTGACTTACCAAACCATAAAGCAGCAAGAATAATATTTTCCTTGTTAGTTCTGTCTTTATAGCTAAGTTCATTGATCACAAAAAATACAGGCCAAACTGAGTATTTTGATGACTTAAATATACTAACACCATCTGTGTACCACATAAATGACAACTTGACATCTGCTTCGTTCAAACCATTATCTACAAATTCCTGATAAAGACGCCCATCATATATGTCTTCTACATTATTGTGATGCTGCTTCCGTCTCTGAAATCTATACATGAGACGTTCTACAAACCCAGTCCTCATGAAAAGCTTTTGCAATTGCTGTATGAAAGGAATTTCTATAAAAAAGGAGATTATGGTCTCATCCCGACATTGATTGCAGACACCATCTTTCCCCCGAAGACTTTTATAACATCTCTCACAGAAATAGTGCAGTATTAGAATTTTTCTTCCAATGTCAGCAAAGATTTTTTTGAACTTAAACAAAGATTTCACACAATGATTAACAGGCGGACAATGTAACTCAATAATCTCCATAATTCGCACCAAACATTCACCACTTAATGTAAAGGACATGGCTAAGGTAAGAATCAACATTATGGATTCCATTTTAGATATACGAGCATTCTCATATAAAGGAACATCCCCATCCACTCGGTGGCCATCCTCATTTTGCTCATCATTTTCATTTCCATCATCACTATCATTGTCATCACTTTCATTATTGTCATCACTTTCACTGTCATCACTCTCACTTATATCACTCTCTTGATCACTTTCCTCTTCACTAGAGCTGCTCGAGTCACCACTATCATTGCTGTTGCGTTCCAGAAGGTCCTCAAGGTTTAAACCTGGCGGCACAGCATCTTGAGCAACATCTGAAAAGAAAAGACAATTGTTTTATTTTTCACTCTTTCTTTATTAGTTTTTTGGTTGACTAGTTTCTAATTATACAATTATGCAAACATTTTTTACAAAAAAGAAAGGAGGAATGGGATGAACTTACCTAGACCGTTATCTGCAGGCTCTGCTTGTGCCACAATAGGCTCTTCTCTGTCATGATGTTCCTCATCCACCCCGTCCTGCTCAATTTCACTTTCTTGCTCGCCTTCCTGCTCTTCCTCCTCGTCATCATCCTCGTCGTCGTTTCCTTCCTCATTGCTGCTAGATTCTGTGCCTTCATCTTCACTCTCCGCTTCATGCTCTTCTTGGTCAGATATATCACCTGAAAGTTAAAACAAATCAAATGAAATGCCCAAAAATAAAAAAAAATCAACTAGTCTTGAAATAAATCATTGTTTAAGAAGTCTTTGAATGTCATGTGAGTAGACGTTGCAAATGAATCGTTTGACAAGCGAAAGGTAAACAAACACAAGGTAACCTAACCTGAGAATGGCGGATGCTTCTCGGCCATGAAATTTAGACAAAACCAGCAAAGATACGAAAAATATTGAAATTTTCAACTGGATAAGATGTTACAATAGTGCTAAAAATAGCTGCAACTAACCTTGATGGCGCTTTGCGGCACTTTCCACATCTTCAGTCGACGAAGTTGAAGAAGCGTCGCTGTCATCACGGGGCAGGCGACCTGCAGCAAAAGCCGCATTCCTTAGCCTTCTACGGGTCCACCTTGATTTATCACTACTGTTCGACATACTGCGAAGAGAAAAAAGATAGTTTTTTTCACTGTTAAAGTTGAAAACTGACAGAACGACGAACACTACCTGTTTGCAATGCGGGCTCTCTGCTGGTAAACAATAACTTTGGCATTCCATGGCCTTGTCGAATTGCCAACATTTTAAAGTATAATAATAACAAAATGGCATTGTACTCTTACGTAATATTTTCCAGCGTAAGTGAAATATTTTCCTAAAAATCTCATTTCTTGACATATTTTTTTTCTAAATATGTTATAGGCGACCACCGCCTACTCGCTTTCTGTTCGTTTAGTATTGGTGTGAGGTTGGCAACACTCTCCCCCTCCCTTCCGACTCCGTCCACGCTGTGTGGTGAGGTCGAGGAAAGTCGTTCGCCGAACCGACGCCGACGCTAGCTCCCCGCGTACTCGCTATTTGTTTCTTCTGGATTTGATTATTGAATGCACATCGTAACTCTCTTGTGTGTTCGAAGATGTTTTATTTGATCCATTGGCTGAACGAGAATCTTTGGGATGTTTGGGCAGATGAGGAGGCTAACGGACGCATCCCTCAAGAGCTGCGCTTCGAGGGAGCGCTCGGTTTAACGCAGTACACTGATGGACAATCTTATCTCGGCAAAGTTCTTAAAATGAGTGGTGAGTAAATTGGCGAGGACAAGGACGTACTGTCTATTGCATTGAAAGTCGTGGCGCCTGATTTCTTAGATGGTCCATTAACCTTAAATGTGTTTGAATGGAGCGGCGTCATTATTACCTTGTTCTCTTTCTTTTATGTCATACTGTTGTGTAACTCGTTTTATTTTCACTTCAGAGGACAAAGATGAGGTTGAAAAAGCCGAGCAGGAGCTCAGTGACCTAATTAAGTCTCAGAAAACTGCCCCAGTGGAACCCAGAAACAGGAAGAGAAACACAAAATCTAGGTCTAAAAGTACTACTGTTGCAACGGAGAGGCAAGTTTCCAGTGCATTGAATGAACGCCCCAAGCTAACCCCAGCACAGCTCGAAGTTAAGAAAAGGGCAGCTGAACAATTAAAGCTGAAAGCAGCTGCGCAGCAGAAGGAAGAAGATCGGCAAGATAAGAATCTACAGAAAAGTGTTAGCAGAGCTTTAGACTTTGGAAAGTCTAATAGTGATGCACTCTCTGATGAAGATATATTCAGTAATCCTGAGTCAGATGATGATGTCGATTTGGAACCTGGGAATTTGGCTGTCCAAGACAATACCAAGAAACATGACAATGACAGTCTTAAGTCGAGCGATGAGCGGTGATCCTGAAATTGGAAACTTCAGTGAGTACTTTTAGGTCAGCTTCTGTGTTTAAATTTGTACATTATCTGTTTTTGACAATCTAATTCTTTTACAGAAAACCCTATAACTGTCAATTTTTTGCATTTTTTGTTGAAAAAGTTTGGGTCGAGTCCCACTTATCAAGTTTCTGATGGCCAAGTAAGTATTGCAATCACGACCCTTTACATCTTAATACTGTTGTAGGAATTTAGGGAATCTAATTAACCTTTTCTTGTGTGTCTTTATAGAATGTTGCTCAGCCACAGGAAATACCAGGACATAAAATGGTATTGGTTGAATCAATATTTGATTGGTATGTTAAACATCCGATCAGTACTTAAGTGTTTTTTTTTTTCTTTTTCAGGTTCATTTGATTAAGGGACATGCCCTAAAAATCCACAAAGGGGGTAGGAATGTACTCATTGTGGATTCAAAGAGTCACAAGAAACCCTCTCTCTTTGCACGCAAGACTATTGTGCAACTGTATGGTGAGAAACAGCTTGCCTCTCTTACCGTTAAAGGACGCAAGAAAGGTTCCATCAGAATATCAGACAAGGATTTGGCTGCCATATATGGTGTGTCTCTGCACAATTATTGTTATTAGTGCTCAAATTTACTATTAGCAATTTAACTTTAACAATGTTTTATTATTTCAGAGTTTGTAGTTGAATACACAAAACCTAAGAAGTTTTCATGGGAGGATTTCCTCCAGTCCCTTACCAAAAAAATCTCAGCAGCTAAATCTCCAAAATCTTCTAAAGCTGTAATGAATTATTGTTTTTCCTATCTTGCATTTTTTGTGTTGCTATTGATCACATACTATTTTGACATTTTTGTTTGTTTGTTAAGGATGAGGAAGATAAAATAACACCTTCTAAGATGAATACTCCAAAGAAAGGTCAGCCCACCAAAGATGAAGAGAGAGTGATAGCATCTCCTTCCAAATTTCAAAGAGGTTTGACTGTCACTGAGTTGCCCAGCAGCAGCAGCTCTTCAGGACTGGAGGTACAGTTACATTATTCATTGAACATTTATTTAATCCTGACTGTACTAACTATCGAAGATAAGCATGTGGCCAGAAGGCAGGTTTAATGTCTTTAAATTGATTTTCTGCAAGTAAATTGATAAAATTTGTTTTTGGCCTTTGATAAATGGCCACTTAAGTTGAGAGAGAACTTTTACTTTTGTGACTGAACACTGAACTAAGAAACAACAATAGATTGTAGATATGGAGGCATCTCTTGGGTCAGAGACACTTAAGAGAAAAGAAAAGTAGATGTACTATTGTTGAACTATAAGAATTTTGGGCAAATGATTTTTTTATTTATGTTTGGCTAAGATTCTCTGATGAGTTTCTTTTTAAATCATAATCAAAAGGACTATAATTTGGCAGGGTAGTTGTTCTTTAGAAAAAAAAGAGTTTTGATAAACACCTCACCACTCAACTTTTTTTTGAAAGAAAATCATAAATATTTTGCAGAAAATAAATTTAGTGACTCCTACCTTTCTATAAGATTTTGTCATGTGAAACTGAAACTTTAATTTCACATGAGCACTATGCCATTAACCATAGTTTAAATGTTCAAGTGTTAATGCCCAGGTTTTCCCTGGTTCAGTTCGTGATAAAACAAGTATGGTGGATAGCTTCTTTGATTTAGGGGGAAAAGGAAAGATTGGCACAGTGTTTTATTGAATTTTGTAATGTAAAAGTTACACTTTATTTGAAGTTAACAATTTTACTTTATTGATCTAAGTAACTTAAAATTCAGTTATTTATTT